GTGCTATGGCGTCATGGCTCACAGCAACCTCCAACTCTTGGGCTTAAGCGATTCTTTTGCCCTCCCTCAGCCTCCCATGTAGCTAGGATTACAAGCATCTACTGCAAGGCCCGGCTAGTTTTTGGTTGTAGTTGTCATTGTTGTTTGGTGGACCCGGGCTAGATGTGAACCCGCCAGCTCCAGTGTGTGTGGCTGGCGCCTTAGCTGCTTGAGCTATAGGCACTAAGCCTTAATTTTAATTTTTTGAATTACTCAGGTTCTGTATCATCTTAAGTGAGTTTTGGTAGTTTACTGTTTTTAGGAAATTGGTCCATTTCATGTAAGTTTTTGAGCTTACTAAGCAGTCTTATCAATATTTCCTTATTATATATTTTTATTTATTTATTTATTTACTTGATACAGAGCCTCAAGCTGTCCCCCTGGGTAGAGTGCTGTGGCATCACAGCTCACAGCAACCTCCAACTCCTGGATGCAAGCGAGTCGTCTGCCTCTGCCTCCCAAGTAGCTGGCGGGACCACAGCCACAACGCCCAGCTATTTTTTTTTTTTGGTTGCAGCCATCGTTGTTTGGCAGGCCCAGGCTGGATTCGAACCTGCCACCTTAGGTGTATGTGGCTGGCGCCTTAGCCACTTGAGCCACAGGCGCCAAGCACCTTATTATATTTTTAATATCTGCAGGGTCTATAAGGATATCTTCTTTTTCATTCCTGCTATTAGTAATGTGTGTCTTCTTTCTTTTTTCTTTGTTATTCTTCTTGGATTATTTTACTGATTTTTATAAAGAATCAGCTTTTGATTCCACTGATTTTTCTCTTTTATTTTTCAGTTTTCAATTTCATTGATTTCTGCTCTTGTGTCTGCTATTTCTTTCTCTTTGATTTGGGTTTATTTTCCTCTTCTCTTTCCAGTTCTTTTAGATAAAGCTGAAGATACTGATTTGAAACCTTTCTTCTTTTCTAATGTAAACCCTTCATGCTATAAATTTCTCTCTAGCAAAAGCATCCCCCAATTGGTATGTTGGATTTTCATTTTTATTCAGATTGTGTTTGTGAGGTAATCTCAGCATCTGTGATAGTGTGTCATCTGTTGATTATACTTTGCTGTGTAAGTTGACATTTTCATGGTTTTTCATATGCTGAATAATTTTGGATTATATCCTAGAGTTCTGGAGTAGGATATATTAAGCTTCTAGGTGCTATTTAAATTATATTGAATATATTGATATTTTTGTTTTAATCAACAGTCAGTCTGGTTAGGTTCAGGCCACGAGTTCCAATCCTCAACCTATGGGCCATGAATGTCAAGTTAGTTTTCAGAGACTTTGTGCCATTTAATATTCTGAAGTCTGTCTGAGTATGCACCACCCAGGGGTCAGTCTCGGACCTGGACGGGTTAGTTCAGTTCTCAGAGTCTTTGGTAAGTCAGAGTATGGTATAAGGATCAGTCTCACTTCACATGATTCTAGAGATCTCTGGAGACATAAATGACTTCAGGGGGTGGTTTTCCTAAGCTCCTTACTTGTTGCTCACTAGCCAGTACTTTCCAGTTTCCTGAGCCTTTTGGGGTTCTGTGGCCAAAAACTTGGGTTTCTAGCTCCCCACCCAGTCATGCATGTCTGTCATTGGGCCTGCATTCTAACCTTAGTTGAGGGAGGACAGAGAGAGGAAGGAGCAACAGGGTGGCCCCACCCTCTTGGGATAGCAGCTAGCATCATAGGACATCTTGGGGCCTGGGACATGAGGGAACAGAGAAAAGGGGAGGGAAGGGGGGACTCCGTGTTCCTTCTGAGTGTCAGGAGCCCCTCCCCCTTATTTATTTATTTATTTATTTATTTATTTTAGAGACAGGGTCTCACTCTGTCTCAAGCTGGTCTCAAACTCCTGAGCTCAGGCAATCCACCCACCTCCACCTCCCAAGTGGTGGGATTACAGGTGTGAGCCGCCACGCCCAGCCAGGAGCGCCCCTTCTTATCTTAGACTGAGCCAAGCTAGTTTCCCTGTGTTCTCTCTGTCTGCTTCCTGGGGCTCACTTCCACTTCCAGATTTCCACTGCACTTTCTTGTGGGGGCTGGTAGGTTAAGGGTACACCGCTTACTTGGTGGCTTTTCCCTGGTCCCTCAGCTGATATTTAAAGAGTTTTTCAACGGCTGCCAGGCTTTTTGTCCAGGTTTCATAGTTGCAGTCAGTGACAGAGGAAGGGGAATGTGAGCTGACCTGCCTTGCCTAAGGCCAGCTTTCTCCTTCATTGGCACTGCCCTCATCTCTTGCTGCTTAGGTGGACTAGGATGAGTGCAGAAGATTAAGTCATGTGGGTCACTTAGGTGTGCCCATTTCTGACAATCAGTCACAGGCAGTGCAGAAATGAGTGTATGTACTCATCCTTAGGCCTGCACTCAAGATGGCTCCCTTACCTGAGTGGGGATTTCTGGAGGACTATCTCCAGGCATGGAACTACCCTTGCTGAGTGAGGATGCTTCCCAGAAAGATGTTTCCAGTGCACTTAGTGCAAACCTATTTGCTTTCTTCCCTTTTAAGGCATTGGGTGAGACAGTGAACTTGCTAACCATGTTTCCCTCCTGCCTGGGACCCTTGTGTGACTTGTTCACTGAGCCCAGAACATGGTCTGCCTGACTGTGCAGTGCCCTGGGATAGAAAAGCAAATCCCAGGGAAATGAACAAAGCCCTGAGTATGTGAAGGTCCCAACCATAGGGCCTTGCAGCACATGGCCCCGCTTGAAAGAACCCCTCTCCTCCACATGAGTCAGCATGGGGGCAGGTATTAGAACCCTACCGTCTAAGATTGTAGACCTGGTGGCTGAGTCAACATTTGATTCCAGATTCAGATAATCTGGATAGAGCAGCACACTTACTTACATAGCCAATCCCTCAGCAAACAATCTTCTCAGCACCCACCCTGGGGAAGGCACCAACTTTGGGTGGCCCAGTCACACCTCAGCTAGGAAGCCTGTTTGTCCTGATTGCTACCTGCCAGCCTGAGATTAGCCTCATGGGCTGGTGACCTTTTGGCTTCACTTCTTGGGCCTTCCTAAGCAACATTTGTGCCCTCATGTTTTCAGTTACAGAATGCCATAAGGTCAGTCATGCTCACCAGAAAAGGGGAGTCCTCAGGGGCTATCACAGTTGGGTGGAGCACTGAGGGCCCTGGGAGTAAGGCAGGTGAAATCCCATCACTCAGGATCCTGGAGCCCTGGCTGGCAAGGGTCCTGATGCTGTGCTCAGATACTTTTCAGCACTAGACACAGCAGTGAGGAGCCCCACATGGCCCCTCAGCAGAGAGAAACACAGAGACAGGCAGATAGGCAGACAAATGCAGGGTGGCTGTGTACACTGTGGGATCAGAGCGCCTACTGGGTTGAGGCCAGCGAGAGGCCAGTGTAGCAAGAATGGAGTAAGCAAGGAGCAGTGACAGGAGGTGAAGGTAGGAAAGTGACAGGAGCCAGATTCCACAGGGCCTTGCCTAGTGCCCTGCCTTTCTCAGGGCTGTCATTCACTTGGCAACTCAGTTTCCTTCTTCCCTCAAAGGGAGCAAACTGGTGAAGGGCTTTTGTGTGTCCACATGGTGTTTTTAGGTGCTCACATTGAAGACTGGAAAGATTTTCCTGCTTCTCTGCATACAGGAAACTCAGGTCCTCCACTACACTGGTATGGCTACAACCAGCATCCGGTCCTAGGTGTCCGAGTTGGTGATCCTTGACTCGCTTGCTGGTGTGGACGTGACCTCATTGCTCATGGCACTGTGGTAGTTGGGGCTATTCCCCCAGCACTTCCTCTGCCAGCCACTATGTGGCCAGCCCTCTGTGCCTCAGTTTCCTCATCGCTAAAATGAGCTCAAAGACAGGTGTACCAGCATGTACACCTTCTCAGGTGTAGGCCTATTACTCTGGTGTTTTGTTTTTTTTGTTTGTTTGTTTTTTCTGAGACAGAATCTCACTATGTCACCCTTGGTAGAATGCCATGGCATCACAGCTCACAGCAACCTCAAACTCCTGGGCTTAAGCGATTCTCTTGCCTCAGCCTCCCAAGTAGCTGGGACTACAGGTGCCCACCACAACCTCCAGCTATTTTTTTGTTGCCATTGTCGTTTAGTAGGCCCGGGCCTGGTTCAAACCTGCCAGCCCTGGTGTGTATGGCCCGCGCCCTAGCCGCTGAGCTACAAGCACCAAGCCTGGTGTGGTTCTTTTAACTTTACTCTCAGGTGCATTCTCTTGGCACAGTGTCATCTCGAGTCACAGTCCCTACACCACAGGTTGTCAAAGTGTGTGTGTGATAGCAGGGCTCGGCACAAGGGAAATGCTTAGTCAATGTCAGCTGCTGTGACTGGATCTATTTTGGTTTATTGTTAGTTTGGATAAAGGGTTATCACACTTCAGGACAGCTGGGCGGGGGCAGGAGGGCCAGGGCCCTAGAAGCTCCATCGTTAACAAGACCTGGGGGTGAGGGGCCAGTGGCCTCCTGGGAGGCTTAGAGGAGAAACAGATTTCAAGAAAAGTAAGTCTGGTCTTGCCCAAGAGAGCCTAGGTCAGCACATCAGGTGAGCAGGCACTGGTAGAGTCCTGGCCCAGGGCCATGAGTGCAGGGACCAGCCACCAGGTATGTCTGGGACATGGGGAGGGCAGCTGGAGGGAGGACGTGGTACACGAGAGGCCTCAGAAGGGCTTCTAGGCACTGCTGCAACTCCAGGCCCCAATGTGGTCTGAGGCCTAGTGGGTGACCCCACAGTGTCCACTTCAGTGTTCGCCAGGCCCTGGCATGAAGGCTGGTTGGGGGACAGATGAGTCCAGGACCCTCAGATGTGGGATGGCAAAGGGTTGAGCCCTGAGCTAAAGAGGAGCTCTCCCAGCTCAAAGGATGCTCAGGACAGGAAATAGCTTAGAGGTGATCAGGGCAGTGAGAATAGGGTGGCTGTGAGGTCACACCGCACAATTGGGGGCAGTGGCTGGTGAGTTAAGGCCTCCCCTCATGCCCACCTGCTGCCCTCCAGGTCAGTGCCAATGGCAACGTCCTGCGCAGTGAGATCGTGGGCTCCATCAAGATGCGTGTCTTCCTCTCAGGCATGCCTGAGCTGCGCCTGGGCCTCAATGACAAGGTTCTCTTCGACAACACGGGCCGTGAGTACCCTCGGGTGCAGGTGGGCAACAGGCAGCCCCAGGGCAGCTGCCTGGCCCTGTGGACAGAGCAGGCCTCATCCTATGAGGATGGCTTCATTGGACACATGAATGGGAGCTGAGTGGAATGTTGGCCTGGGTAAAGAAACAAGCTGATTGTAAGCACTTGGTTTAGGAACATTTGACATTGCTTTAAAGACAACTGTGACAATTAATCCCTGTGCATAGAGAGTAAAAATCCTAAAGTCAAGTTTCCTGGTCACCTGAGGTGAACTTTGTGAGCATCACACAGCGGGTCCTCCACCCTACCTTGTGCCATCTCAGCAGGGCCTGAGCCGCCAGGGTTCAGGTTATGCCCTGTTCTCTCATCCCTCCAGAGCCAAGTTTCTCCCCTCACCTTAGGCCCTGGGTCTGGACTGTGATTTGAGCTCTCACCACCAGGCTTATAGCACTTCTCATGGTGGGGTAGGGGCAGAGTAGGCTCAGGACCTAGGGTCACTGGGGCTCCATATTTGCAAGCTGTACTCCCCCTCCTAGCCCATTATAGGCCCCTGCAAGTGGCCTGGGTATACCCCTATTCCTGGTCTAGTGAAAGGTTCTTGGGCATTAGCCCATCAGAGCAGCTTTCTGCCCAGGGACTCAACCCACACAGCTCTTTGGTGGGGTGGGAAACTGATACAGGATCCAGGACCCAAGGGTTACCAGGCCTGGGCCCTCTGGGAGCCCTAAGCCATCTCCCAGCTGACTCCCTCAATTGTTCAGCAGTTGCCTCTCAAACAGCACCTCTGCTGGACCCTGGGCTAGCTGCTGGGACTCAGCATGAACCAGGCAGACCAGCCCTGTTCCCAGGGACTCCAGGGGGTTGAGGAGTGACAGTGGTTGTCTTGAAACCAGCAACCTTGCGTTTATAGCACAGGATGCTTTCAGAGTATGGGATGGGGGTTCTCTGCCAGGGTGGGCCCTGGGCAATGGGAGAGCTGCTGAGAGAATGACCCAGAGAGCCCAGGGGGTATCCTGCCCCCACCTCAGGTGGCAAAAGCAAGTCTGTGGAGTTGGAGGATGTGAAATTCCACCAGTGCGTGCGTCTGTCGCGCTTTGAGAACGACCGCACCATCTCCTTCATCCCACCCGACGGCGAATTTGAGCTCATGTCCTATCGTCTCAACACCCATGTGAGTGTGCCGACCCCAGCAGGCCATGGGGATTCGGGCAGCCCTATTCATGCTCCTGGTATGTGAGAGCACATCCATGTGGTGAAGCCCAGTGTCTGGCCCCACCCCAAACTCCACAGGCTGCCTGAGTGGGACAGACCCTTTGGCCACCTTTTGTCGGGCAGTCTCCCCAGAGGAGGCCCTGGGCATGTGCTCCACATTTGGACAGAGGCCCTTGGCAGCTCCCTGCTGCTCTGGCCTGTCCTCATGCCAACTGTGCACCCCTCTGGGGACCCCAAGGAGTAGTGTGGTGGACCCACACCTGAGCAAATGATCCTTTGCCCTGGGCCTTGTTTTCCCTTCTATGAAATGGGTCTTTGTAAAACACAGCCAGATATGAGCGCTGTCTTCACCCTCCCTGGCAGGTCAAGCCCTTGATATGGATCGAGTCAGTGATTGAGAAGCATTCTCACAGTCGCATTGAGTACATGATCAAGGTGCGTGGGTGTCCCTTGCACACTGTCATCTCCATTCACTGAGGGCATTTCAGTGTTTCTGGCCCTTTCTGGGCCTTTGGGTAAGGTCTTGACCCGGGCTTGGGGGTGCTGTGGGTCTCCCATCCATGCTGCCTTGTGGTGGGCCCACATGTGGAATGGGCCTGGCACTGAAAGGAGGTGCCACGCAGGGCCTGCCCTTAGATGGTATCACCTCCCCGGGAGGAGCTTTCATTCAGGAAGGCTTCCTAGAGGTACTGCCCACCAGGTGAGTCATTCTTGCTCCTCAGTGACCCAATCCAGCCTAGGCCAACCCTAGGGACACACACATTGTCCTAGGAAGCCATGGGTGGGCCAGAGGGAGGGAGAGGGGGCCCGAAAGGCCAAGGGGACAAGGGGGCAGAGGTTGAACTTCTGGAATCAGGAGTTAGGAGAGTCCCTGGGGATGAGAGGGAGTACAGGCAGTGTCTAAAGAAGCCAGGTGGCAAGGGGAAGGGCATCCCATAGGCCAGGCTGAGGGGCATGTGGCCTGGTTGGGGTCTGGGCTCACCTTTGCCCCAAAAAACTTTGTCTGCAGGCCAAGAGCCAGTTCAAGCGGCGCTCAACAGCCAACAATGTGGAAATCCACATCCCTGTGCCCAACGACGCTGACTCGCCCAAGTTTAAGACAACAGTGGGAAGTGTCAAGTGGGTCCCTGAGAACAGCGAGATTGTGTGGTCCATCAAGTCATTCCCGGTGAGCGCCATTCTCAGACACCTCCTCCAGACATCCACCTCCCCCACATGCACCCTGTGCTTGTTTGGGCCATGTGGCTTGTCTGCTGCAGAACTTCCCTGTGCCTTGAAACAGGGTAACAATCCCCATCATGTTCCCCACACCTGTGGTTTCTCAGAGGGTTAGGAGGGAGAGTAGACGGAAGACCGAGGACCAGGCCCAGGCCCGGTGTGGAGGGAAAGTTGAGGGAGGCAGAGGCCGGTTTGGCTTCCTGGGCCCCTCTGCTTCTTCCTCTTATTGGTGAACCTGCCTCTGCCTTTAGCCTCAGGGCAGCACCCTACACACACCTCCCACTACTGATGTGAGATGTGGCATCTGTCCATGCCGTGCCATGCCGTGCCCCCAACCCACATTGAAGGAGCCCCTCCCCTACAACACTTATAGATAGTCTTGTCCCAACTGAGGGCACTGGCTCATCCTTTCCCAAGGTGGGCTCAGATTCAACCTCCCTCAAGGGGCACAAGCTGCCTTGAGGGGAGAACAGCACAGTTTCCAGAATCTAGTTACCAGCTCTAGGTAAGTGCAGCATCTCATGTCCTATACCAGCTCTGTGCCCAGGTGTAGCCACCTGGGCACTGTGTTGAGGGTTTTGAGGACTTGAGCCTAAGCATGCATGTGGGAATCCACAATGCCCAGAGAGGCTGGAGCTGGCATGGTTCCAGTGCTAACCCAGGCTTCCTGCTTGCTCCATAGGGCAGGCTCTTTGGCCCAGGGGGACTTGGGGACAGTACTAACTGAGTTAAAGAAGCCAGAATTATGATAATTCAAGTGCTTTGAAATTTTTTATGTTAGTACTTTCTCTCAAGACCATAATACAATCTCATGGCAGAAAATGAAAATGGAAGGAAGAAGGCTGGGCATGGTGGCTCATGCCTATAATCCTAGCACTCTGGGAGGCCAAGGTGGGAGGATCCCTTGAGCTCAAGAGTTGGAGACCAGCCTGAGCAAGAGTGAGACCCTGTCTCTAGTAAAAACAGAAAAACTAGCCAGGCGTTGTGGTGGGCCCCTATAGTTCTCAGCTACTCAGGAGGCTGAGGCAGGAGGATCACTTGAGCCCAGGGGTTTGAGGCTACAGTGAGCTAGAATGACATTGCTGTACTCTACCGAGGGTGACACAGTGAGACTGTCTAAAAACGAAAGAAAGGGAAGATAGAGGAAGAAGGGAGGAAGGAAGGAAAATAGAGGAAGGGAAGAGAAAAGCCCACCACTTAACTGTAATACAGTACTATTAGCCTTTTAGTGCATCTCCTTCTAATCTTTCTTTCTAAGTATTTTTGTTTTACGTGGTTTCAGATGAGGAGCAGACCCAATTTTGTATTCTTTTTTCTTTTTTCACTCAGTATTGTATCAAAGGATTTCCTCTCTGGTTTCTGTCTTCTTAGCAGTCAGCTTTGGCAGCCATAGAATATTCCACAGAGAAAAAAAAATATTCCACAGAGGGGTGGTAACCATACTGGATTGTTAGACTGTCCTTTTTCCCTCTACATTCCACTGTTTAAAATAGTGTTTATATTTTAAAACACAATAGAAGAATAAATCATAAAATCTAGCTAGTATGGACTATATTTTGTTTAGTAGATTTGATTTTGAAACCATGTACAGACACACCTTGTTTTACTGCTCTTCACAGATACTGCATTTTTTACATTTGAAGGTTTCTAGGAACCCTGTGTCAACTGATTCTATCAATGCCATTTTTCCAACAGCATGTGCTCACTTCTTGTCTCTATCACCATTTTTTTAATCTATAAAATATTTTTAAATTAAGGTACATACATTGTTTTTTCAGACAATTGCATACTTCTTAGATGACATTATTGTGTAGACATAACTTTATGTGCACTGGGAAACCAAAAAATGTGTGTGGCTTTATTATAGTGGTCTGGAACCAAACCTGCAGTTTCTCCGAGGTAGGACTGTACATAAATATAATGTAAAACAAAATTAAATCTAAATGGACAAAAAAGATAATTCCTAAAAATCAAAGCAAAATGAACTCACCAGTGAGGCAGTTGATCATAACCACACAGAGATGAATTGTAAGTGATAAGCTCCAAGGACAAAAGGAACTGCAAAATAAGATCTTGTGCATCTGTTGTGTGTGTACGTGTGTGTACACCCTCATCTCTTACTTTGATGTCTCCATACTGAAAACTAATATACAGTTATATTTAGAATTGATGGGTTTTTGTTTTTGTTTTAAGACAAGGTCTCACTTATTGCCTGGCTAGAGTGCAGTGGTGCCATCATGGCCTATCTAACTTTTCTATTTTTTGTAGAGACCAGGACTTGCTCTCACTCTGGCTGGTCTTGAACTCCTGGCCTCAAGCAGTCTTTCCACCTTGGCCTCCCAAAATGCTAGGATTATAGACATGAGCCACCATACCTGGCTGGCTGGTGTTTTTTAAATGTGTAAAGCATTTACATTGCTCAAAAGTCAAAACTTTAAAAAAAAAAAAAAAAAAAGAGGGCCAGAGCCTTACTTCATCCCTCTTCCCATTTTGGAAAAATTTGTTAATTTGTATCTTATCATCCTTGTGTCTTTTGGTAAAAAGAAGCAAATAGGCAAATAGCAATGTGTGTTCATTACTGTTTCTCTTCCTTTCTTACCAAAAGGACTGTTCTATACCTCACTTTTTTCCCCTAAGCATTTAGGAGAAATGTCAGTATAAAGATATCTTCCTCATTCTTTTTTTTCTTAATTTTTTTATTGTGGTAAAATACACATAAAATATGATGCCATAAGCCATTTTGATGATGTTTAAATATGGATGCTCCTTGACTTACAATGGCGTAACATTCTGATAAACTTACTGTAAGTTGCAAATATTTTAAGCTGAAAATGCATTTAATATACCTAACCTGGCT